ATAATCAAACATTTTCCTTAAACAGTTGATAAATTATTAATCACTATAATGTTTATAATACAGTTCATAATATTATAAACATTAATAAACAATATATAAATATCACTCTCTATTGGTAAATATAAATCACTTAATTAATTACTCCACTCAAACTACCAGCAGTTGATAAAGTTTCGGTCCCTTCTTCAAAAGACAGCCCTGTTCATTTAGTTTGTCTATCATTTCTCTAAAATCCGACCCAAATCCGTGATGCACCAGACCACCATTGCTAGCCGTCTCTTTCAATTCATTCAGAGTGAAAATTGTCTTCATTGTCACTTCTGATCTCTTTTGAATTAAAGATAAAAACCGCTTGATCTAAAAAGATAAAGGAAATTAGAGAAAGATAGATACTTTAAAAATATAAGTTTTGCAATTACAAATTCTTTTTAATTCCAAAATAAAAGTAATTTGTAAATTGAAACATTTTAACAATCACATTTAATATTTGACAAAAAACTGCAATTCTTGCAATAGTATCTAATTATATAATATATATTTATCATATATAGTTTATATATATATATATATATATCTAATTAAATATATAATATATCTTTATTATATATTATATATAATATAGTTCTAGTTTTCTTATACTGGTCATTTCCTTTTACCTTTGAATTTTGGCTCATTTGCTCGAAGTATTCTCCTCTGTTGACATCAAAGTTCCAATACCATCGCAGAATAATCTGAATGACAAATTTTGTTAACTCGATAACATCTCTTGCATGTTCTATTTTTGCTTCAGGCGATAGATCCACTCTTGCTCTTGCTTGCGTTAGCCGAATTAGAGCTTCAAGTTGCCTAAAGAAAAAGTATAATAAAAAATTAAGGAAATAATAATATTATTATTGATATTTACAAACAACTCAAGGACTTCACTGATAACTTGATTTTTAGTAAATAATACATAAAATAAGAACAGTGTTTGTTTTAAATTCAAATTGTTTTCTATAATTACTTTATTTATTTATTATATATGAATTTTAAAAAATATATGATATATAAATACATTTATATGATATATAATGCATATAATATATATTAGTTAGTTTTTAATTAATGTTATTAATGATTATATTAATTTAATTATTAACCTGAGTGTAACTGGCATACTATCAGCACCCTGACGAACTTGTCTCAGACCCAAATAGAATCTTTTTATTTCCTCAGCAGCCTCTTTTGTCAATTTAGGCTGCACGTTCTTTCTAGCATAGCCTAAACAAACAAAACAATTTATATAATCTCTAAACAAGAGATACAACTAGTTATTTATATTAATTATCCTTCCTTACTTATATACTTCCTCATAAGAACAGTCGGCAAAGGATCAAATCTTTCTCCGTGTCTCAATCTTAATCTTTCCTCAAGACATCGTGGCTGTTGACGTTCATTTTGACTCATTGGAGTCTCAAAAATTCTGCTATTTCTAGATTTTCGTTCCTCTTTAGTCAGATGCATTGAAAATACGTGCTCCGTCAGAAGTGTATCCAATTGCTAAAGAGATAAAATAGTCAATAAATGAAATATAATATAATGATAAGCAAAATAGGAAACTAGAAATGTCAATGAGACATGTTTTAGTCTTACATGAACTAATATATTTAACAAGTTAATCACCACAATAATGTCAATAATGTACCATGATAACTTTAGTGGATAATTTATTCAAAAATGTATCGAGAAGACTTTAATGTCTTCTCATAGCTCCTGTAAAACATAACATCAGACACATATGACTGACAAGGCAATTAATGTGTTTCAATCCTACAATATTAGTTTTAATATTCTAACAAGCCCCTGAAATAACATATTATTATATATGAATAAATAAATCAATATGATCAAACTATTTGTAAAAATATATCGATTTTTATAGAAATCCATGTAATCATATTGTAGAAACAAATAAAATTTATAGTTATTCATTATCACACAACTTCACTAAATTTTGTACAAAAACATAATGTAATTGTTAACGTTTGCAAATACTTTAAATCAGTATGTATTAAATAGATTTCCAAATACCTTAAATCTCTGTTTTTAAACTCCTTGAATCACTTCGTGAGTGTTAAATATTTACACAAACACAGCAAGTTATGTTTCATGTCGACTGCACATGATAAGATTATTTGACAAATTTGTATTTGCGCAAATATGTACCTTAAAATTTAATCACAATAGTTTGTGCAAACGTTTACGATTTTCAGGAATTTGCACAAACTATCGATTTATTTTATTACGTATGTTTGAAGGTATTTTCGCAAACACATTTGACAAATCATATCGTGTGTAACCGCCATTAGTTTTCACTGATGTAATGGTCATTATGAACACCGATTCTAAGTATTTTATGGTTTATAAATAAGATTATTTGTTCCAGTTATGATTAATGAACACTGATTATCAGTTTAACGTATAATTATTTAATAATTTACATCTAAAACATTCAAAATCCGAAATAAATATTTCCTTAAATGTCATTACCAGATACAATCACCATCTTCCTGTACATTCCGCGTGAAAAACTATGAAACGATGTGAAGTGAGCGTTATTACCAACATTAAAGATAAAAAAGTAGTGCGTGATGGGGATTCCTCCGCGCGAAGGAAGTTATGGTTAATATTCAAATCCGTGTTTGCTGAAATTCCTTCAAACATACGAAATTCGATTGCAAGTGTGCGCAAACTTGAATAAAAAGAATTTGCACAAATAATCGGATCGTGTGTAGCACGTATGTTTAAAGGTATTTGCGCAAACCCCGATTTGACAGTTAATCGTATCATGCCATGTCAAATAAACATAACTTCCTTCGTGCGGAGGAATCCCATCACGCACTACTTTTTTTATTTAAAAATGTTTTGCTGCACGTTTATGATTTTTGTGAATTTGCACAAATAATCAGATCTTGTGTGGAATTTGATACGTGGAAATAGAAATAGTTAGATTTTCTTACAGGCTGCAATACTTTCAGACGATTTGCAATATTTTCCGCCGTTTTGGAGCATTTTCAGACAATCAACTACACTTTAAGACGATTTACAACACATGCAGCCATTTTGCAGCATTTTCAGACTATCTGGAATGTTTTTCAATTATCCAGAACATTTTGAAACTACCTAATACATTTTCGAACTATCTAGGACATTTGTAAACTATCTAGAAAATTTTCAGTATATACTAGGACATGTACAAACTACCTAGGATATTTCTGAAATTCTAAAATCATTCAAAAACTATCTAGAACATTTGTCAGACTATCTAGGACATTTAAAGTCTATCTATGAACATTTTAAAACTATCTAAAGCATCTATATATAATTCACAAAATTTACAGACTATCAACATTTTCAGTCTATCAAGAACATAATAAAACTATCGATGATATTTTAAGGCTATCTAGGGCATTTGTCAGACTATCTAGGACATTTAAAGTCTATCTATGAACATTTTAACACTATCTAGAGCATCTAATATACAATCCACAATATTTTCACACTATCTAGAACATTTTCAGTCTGTCAAGAATATTATAAGGATATCTAAGATATTTTAAGGCTATCTAGGGCTGCCTAGAACATCATCTGACTATATGAAATATTTTCAAACTATCCACAGTAATTTTCAGACAGTCTAAGTACATCTTCAGGCCATCTAAAATATTTTCTGACAATTTAGAATATTTTCAAATTATCCCGGTCAATTTCAGGCTATCTAAAACATTTTTAGACTAAATCTAGGACATGTACAGACTCTCTTGGACATTTTAAGATTATCTAAGGTCATTTTATACTATGTAGAACATCTTTGGACTATATAAAACGTTTTCACACTATCTACAACATATTTAAACCATCTAGAAATTTTTCAGACTTTATCTAGGACATTTTAAAATTATCTAAGGTCATTTAAAGACTATGTAAAACATCTTCGGTATATCTAAAACACTTTTACACTATCTAGAACGTTTTTAAACCATCTAGAACACATTCAGACTATCCAAAATATTTTTAATCTATCTCGAACATTTTCAGACTATCTAGAAAAAATTCAGGCTTTATCTAGGACGTATACAAGCATTATTTTAAAATTTTCTCAGGTCATGTTAAGACTATGTAGAACATCTTCCAACTATCTAGAACATTTGACAGACTATCTAGATTGTAGATAGTTTTAAAATGTCCTCAGATAATCTTAAAATGTCCTAGATAGTCTGACAAATATCCTAGGTAGTCTGAAGATGTTCTAGATAGACTTAACATGACCTTAGATAATAAAAGTTTAAAGATGTTGAAAGTCTAAAAGTCAAAAGAATTTTGTAGACAGTCTGAAAATACTCGAGATAGGCAGAAGATGTTTTACATGAACTTCTTAACATAAACTTAGAAAGTCTTAAAGTGTCCTAGATAGCCTGCACATGTTCTAGATGTAATCTGAAAATTTTTTGGATAGTCTGAAAATATTCTAGATAGATTAAAAATGTTCTAGATTACCTGTACATATTTAGATCTAGCCTGAAAATTATTATAATAAAATAAAGTTTGAGAAGATTGAGGTGGACATAAGTCAAATTTTCAATAAATGTTTACTATTGCCTAATTTTAAATCTGATACTTTTGTTGTTATGCCATTAATTCATTCTTAGATTATAAATGATTGTTTTATTTTATGTACAGAAATAAAATTAGTGCAATAATTTATATTTTTATTTTGTGCTTTCATCGATTGTTTTGAAATATTATCAATTTTTTTCAGGATCAATGTTATATATGCAATTGTGTAAATCTTTAAGAATTTAATATATATATTAAATATATTTACAATTTTAAATCATGATTGTGCATTAAATTTCAGCTAAAGTTTTTTTTCGAGTAATACCGTTATTTTCTACTTTTGCAAGAAAAATTAAATTTGATTCAAACTTAACCCACAAAACTTAATATATTTCTGATTTCAAAATAAAAAAATTATCAAAAAAAGTTGTGTATGTAAGATATATGAAATAAAATCTTCATTTTTCTTACGTAATATTTTTTTCAGGAAAATTACGTAATATTTATGTAATTCTTTCGTAATATCTAATTACGTAATCTAGATTACATATTTTTTACATAAAAATTACGTAATATTACGTAACTGGTTTAGTGGGTATCTAGTCTGAAAATGTTTCAGACAGATTTCACAAAGTCTGAAAGTATTCTAGATAGTTAAAAAATATACTAAATAGTGTGAAACATGAAATACAAAAAATATATAATACACTGAAAATGTTGTATATGGCATACAAATGATTTAGATAGTCTGGGCATGTTCTATCTAGTACATTTTTAGAATCTCATGAACAATCTGAGGCATTATATTATTAGCATTAATTGTTTAACTCAAAAGGCATTCTAAGTCTCCTTAAGCTTAACTTCAATAAATATATAACACACTAATCTCTATTTAAATGGCTTGAGTTTAACACAACCTCTAGCAAGACTAATCAGAAGTGAATAACTTCAAAAAAAGCCCCTCAATGTTTACATTTACCTATATTTTTAATTCTCACCTCATCAGGAATATCCAACAGCACAAATACCAAATCAAATCTAGACAGAAGGGCACAGCTTAAATTAACATTTTCCTTTAAGGTTTTGGATCTGTTGTAAACGCCTTTATCAGGATTTGCAGCGGCCACGACTGCACATCTGGCAGGAAGGGAGCAGACTACACCTGCTTTGGCTAAAGAGACACATTGTTGCTCCATTGCTTCGAGCAAAGCCTAGAGAAGAAACAAATAAATAAATATATATATATATACATATATATATATATATATATATATATATATTTATATAATGTATTATTTATCTTCTTATACTGATAGTTAAAATTGTTTATTCATACCGAGTGCTGTTTGGTCATTTTATCAAATTCATCAATACAGCATACACCACCATCGGCAAGTACCAGGGCACCGGCTTCCACACCACTGGTGCTGTTTCCTGAAGAAATACCTGACTCTGATGAAGTCTGGCCGCCAGAAGTTACACTGGCTGTGAGACCGGAAGAAGTACTCGTATTTCCACATACAAAAACACCTAAAATAAAAGAAATAACATAAATGAAAGAAATAATATTTATTACCATTAATGATAAATAAATAAATTAACAATAAATACTAAAAACGGGAGAATTAATGGCTACAATGAGTTCAAAAAATATTTCAAGTACTACACTAATCCTGTAAAATAAAAATAATGTATATTTTGTTAGAAATATCAAGGCACAAAATGATTGAAAGGAGATAAGATATACTCATGTCCAAATTTACATTTTTTACCATATTTACTCAAAAATATCTGATGGTTTGGTCATTAATATTACATATTCATCAGATATTTAAACTTCTATATTATTATTACCTCTAGGGGCAACATCAGCACAAGCCTTCAACATCTGACTTTTTCCCAACCCCGGATCTCCAACTATCAAAACATGACACTCGTTCCTATTTATAAAATCTGACTCTGATGTTTTTGTAGCTCCCATTAAAGCTAGAATGAGACCAGCTTTAGGACATTCTCGGCCGCAAATCAGAGGGCACAGAGAATTAACAAGCAATCGAAAAACATCAGGCTCTGATTTGATTGCTTGTATTGCTGCATAATCCTAAAAAAAATGGTAATTGAAACTTGTGTTTAGTAAATAATACAGAAATACATACTCGTTCTGTGTATTCATCTTCAACTACATTTTCTCTTTGATTTTGTATAGATATGCCTTCAAGATACATTTTGTACATTGATGCTTGATCTCGTCTAGAATGATCATCTAAAGCTCTCACCTAAAATTGTAAAAATCATATTTTAATATCCTTGTTTCAACTGCCCCAAAACAAACTATATTATACATTAATATATTCAGAAACTAGTGGGGCGCATGACATCGTGCCTTAAGGCAAATTGCTGGAACTTCCTATACCAAAAATTATTTTTTTTAAAAAAACTCTGAAAAAAATAGATTTTTAAAAAACTATAAATTTTTGACAAAATTCTGAACTTTTTTTCAAAGCAATCGTACTGCTTTAACTGCGTAGAGACGAAATATCAAAGCGCGTAAGCGCCGCGACCCCGTCTAACGTATAAACATTGGTACGGAACCCATAAATATAAACAAAATTTATACTTATTGTTAAAATCTCTATAAAATATCTGATAATTTGATGTGCATATGTCTAATGATCATTTTTGACCGCCAAATGGCTTTTTTTTACTTTTTTCATTAGATCTCCGAAACGCTAGACCTGCCTTCATGAAAATTTGATCAGTCCTTCATCTTGTTAATACAACTAAAATGTTTTCGAATTATTCAAATCGGACGCTCCATTCTCTTAAAACTGAGTTACCGTTTTTGGCACTTTTTGCCTCATATCTTCAGAACGACTAGACCTGCTTTCGCCAAAAACTAATCAGCACGTCTCCTTATCAATACGAATTTGAATTATTCAAATCGCTTCATCCCTGTTCTCGAAATCGTCGACGAAAATTTGTATCCGAACACACACACACACATTCACATACACACACACACACATACATCCATTTTTTCTAAGGTATGCCAAAATATTCAGAAACTTCTGAAACGTAAAGACATATAAAAATGTTCATTTTCGATTTTGTTGTGATTACTATAATTTGCCCTATGGGAAGTTAATATATTACTTATAAATTGCTTATAAATAAAAAATGATGTTATAAATTATACCTGCACAATTCCAGTGATAGTCACATCATCTCCTGGACAACATAAATTAACCAAGTCTGCTGTTACTTCAATATTTACATTCCTGGGTACTCTGCCTGATTCAAACTATTCAAAATATTTATTTTAGCCATGTATATAAAAGTACATTGAACAAAATGTAATAAAATATTTAAATCAATTTTTTTTTTTTACCTGATCTGCAGTTTTCAACTCCTGCACTTTTAAAGTCTGCCAAGCAGTCGTTCTTGTGCACGGTGTATCAAGAATTGGAATAAAATTTGTACGAATTAGACAGTTTTCCCCTACACATTTTTCTGGTTGGGCCATTACACCGGCAGGCTGTAAAAATAGAACTTTGAATAAAGGATACACTTGCGTAACTTTAATAATACACACATATATATATATATATATATATATATATATTTATATATATATATACATTACAAATTACCTGTTTTACCATCTGCTGTGCAAAACAGGAGCGACAAGCAAATGTCATCCAGGTGCAAAGCAGCTTTGGGTTACCAGCACGAATTACTGTGCCTTTTATTGTAACAAGTTTACCTATACACCAAATATATACATGTATTAATATATAATTAATAATATATAATTATAAATATATAATTGATATTATTAAAAAACTTAATGCACATACTATAGCTGTGTACACGAATATTTTTCAAAGGTATTACAGGTCCGTGCCCCATCACTCTAGCCATTACCATATCCAGGTTTGATGAATCAGTTGACTCATTTTGCATCGAAAGTACCTAAATACTTTTAAAATCTTATTATCACCATACCAAACCAAATTATATTTACCTCACCTGATGCATGGCTAGCCCCAAGCAGTTCAAAGTATATTCCGGCTTTTCTCTTAGATCCTCTTGAAACATAGGCCAATCTTCCATAAATACTGGATCTCCTAAGAGAGCCCTCATATGTATAGGGTACCACAATAATTTTCTACATCTTTGCAGGTTATATAAAACCGTTCTTCTTGTGATATGGGATTCAGTAGCTTTGATATTTTTTACTGTCTGAGATCCAGCGGTATAAACTAGAAATAATACATGGATGATAGATGAAGTGTCATGGTTTCAAACTATACAAATGTACCTTCTAAAGGGAAATACAGTTTCCATCCTGGATAAGGTCCAGGAATAACGTCCAAAGCAACTGATATTAAAGGTTGCTCTCCAGATCTTCTGACAACTTCCGGTAAATTAGCAGAATTGGTAAAAGATTGCACCTAAGTAAATAATAAGAATCAAAAACTGTAAAATTGCGATGAAAGAAAACTTACAGATGATTCGTTTGATGGGGTGCTCCGTCCTGATGAACTACTTCCTCCACGTGAAAAACCACGTTTCCGGTAAGTAAATCTGCCTCTATTATAACTCATTTCTTCTTATTCTGTTTAAAATGTAACTTTCATAAAGGTTTTATTATCAACCGTACATTTTCAAAAACCGCCATTGCGCAAACTGAGTTTTGACATTTGACATCTAACAAAAGCAGTGCTGCCACCCATCAAATATTTCCACAATTCATTAATCATTCTGTTGACTCATGTCCATAACTAAATAATTTAAATAATTATTAATTGCAATTAACTCTTGCGCCATGTTAATTGAATTCTTTTCCATAACATAATATAAATAAATTCGATTCTTTGTCCGATTCAAAAGTCAAAGATTACGTCATTGTGCGCACGCAGACCCACACAATCATTCTCAGTCGGTTCTTCAATTTACAAGAACTGCTAAAAAAACCCTTTTAAAGTTCATTATTGTATATGTGTGATATATTTTTGATGTAAAAATTGTGTACATAGTTAGTTAAATTATTTTAAACCATGTCGAGTAATTGTGTTGAAGTCACGCCCGAAAATATAGCGGCTGCCGAAAAATTCAAAGAAGAAGCTAATGAATATTTTAAAAGTAACTATACAATATTTATATATCAAACAATATATATATATATGTATATCACTTTATAAACAATTCTTTTGCCTTTTATCAAATTTATATATTTATTTATTTATTTATTTGTACATAACCTCAAACATATTGTAATTGTTTATTTTGCAGAACAAGATTACGAGCGGGCTATAGATTTATACAATAAAGCAATTGAAGCAAATCCAAATAATGCTATTTATTACTCAAATAGAAGCATTTCGCATCTTAGAACAGAAAGTTTTGGGTATGTATCAAATAAAAAGATCTCATAACCTTAATGATATGTCACATGTTAGAGTAAATATATACAATTAAGCATTACATTTATATATTAAGTGATTGTCTTTTACATTCAAAGACTAAGAAGTAAAATATTTTATGCTACCATGGAATGGTCTTAAGTGGATTGCGTACCTAAATTTTATTAGAACTTTTACATATAGATTCATGATATATTATTGATGACTTTTATTCTATTATTTTAGTTATGCTCTTAGTGATGCATCGAAAGCGATTGACTGTGATAAGACTTATATCAAAGGTTATTATAGAAGAGCAGCTGCCCATATGTCTTTGGGCAAGTTCAAGGCTGCTCTTAAGGATTTTGAATATGTATGCTAAATGTATATCTAATTTATGTCTATAATTTGTATAGTTTGTATTTATTGTAATTGTTTTTTCTTTAGGTAGTAAAAGCTAGACCTAATGACAAAGATGCTAAATTGAAGTACAACGAATGTAATAAGATTGTAAAAAAATTAGCCTTTGAAAAGGCTATAGCTGTTGATAAGCCAGAGAAAAATATTGCTGATACTATTGATTTTGCTGCAATGTGTAAGTATAGATATTATTGTTCATTATCAATATATATACGAAATTTATTTATTTATTATATTTAGCTATTGAGGATGACTATGCGGGTCCCAAACTTGAAGATGATAAAGTCACCTTAAAATTCATGATGGACCTCATGGAAACGTACAAAAAACAACAAAAGCTCCATAGAAAATATGCTTACAAGGTAACACATTAAATCCCATAAAACAATTCTTTAATTATCTTAATTATCTTTTTTGTAGATTTTGGTAGATGTTAAAACCTATTTGATGACCCAACCATCGCTCGTGGATGTAACTATTCCTGATGAATCTAAATTCACAGTATGTGGAGACGTTCATGGTCAATTTTATGACTTAATGAATATATTTGCATTGAATGGTTTGCCCTCACCTGATAATCCTTATTTGTTTAATGGAGATTTTGTTGATAGAGGCTCGTTTTCTGTTGAATGTATATTCACACTTTTTGGATTCAAGTTGTTGTATCCGGATAGCTTTTTTATGTCTAGAGGTATGGGGAATAATATTTTATAAGCAGGGATTTTTATAATGAAATTTATGTTGTTTGTTTTTAGGTAATCATGAAAGTTCCACAATGAATCAAATGTATGGATTTGAAGGAGAAGTGAAAGCAAAGTATACAAAAAACATGGCAGAACTGTTTACTGAAGTATATAATTGGTTGCCTTTAGCACATTGTTTAAACAAAAGGTAAATACTTAATATACATATACTTTAGCTTATGTGCACTTACATAAATTTTTTTCCAGAGTTTTGGTAATGCATGGTGGTCTATTTTCCACTGACGATGTTACTATTGATGATATCAGGCAAATTGATAGGAATAGACAACCGCCTGATGAAGGTAAATTGCTAACAAACATTATAAAACATATATATCATATATAATACTATTTATTTCCTTAGGTCTTATGTGTGAGTTATTGTGGTCCGATCCTCAACCACAAAACGGCAGGTCACCAAGTAAAAGAGGTAAATTTAAAACAATAATTAGTATAAGAATATGTTACTATGCATATATGTTTTTTAGGAGTTGGTTGTCAATTTGGACCAGATGTTACTCATAAATTCTTGGAGAAGAACAATCTTGACTATGTAATTCGTAGCCATGAAGTCAAATCTGAAGGTTATGAGGTTGCTCATGATGGGAAGTGCATTACTGTTTTTTCTGCACCTAATTATTGGTGAATAATAAATTTAACATTTGTTTTAACTATTTTCAACCTAGTAAATAATTATTTTTAATTTATGATTTATAATTTACAGTGATACAATGGGAAACAAAGGTGCTTTTATCAAATTAAAGGGCAAGACGATGATCCCAGAATATGTCTCATTCTCGGCAGTGGTCAGTATCACATAACTATATACTTAAATAATATTTCATATATAACTTATTACTTTCATCTGCAGCCGCATCCTGATGTTAAACCAATGGTATACGCAAATTCCTTGTTGAACATGATGTGTTGATCGCCATCATATCTCATTTGGAATGGTTTACATATTTATTTGTGCAAGTTTTTTGTGATTTTTACACAAAGTTTGGGATTACTGCCAGTTGATCCAGTGAATTAATGAAATTAAATTGTATCCCAGTGCTCGACATTTGTTATAATCTTGAAAGTTATGTTTAAATATTTTTAATAATGTATTTTCTTGTATGTAGCTCTTTTAAGCCAAATAGTCTTATATAAATTTATATATATGTTAACATTTGCAAAGTCTTTGCCTGATCAATATTATACAATTCTTTTTATAAAACCATTTGATATGTAATTTTGCATTTGAATTCTTTTAATTGTTATATTTACTCTTCATTGCAAATTGTATTTAATCATAGCATATTTTATGAATAAAATATTTTTTATAGGCATAATATTTTTTAGGCAATTACTTTCCTTATATATATATATATATATATATATATATATTGATGATTTTTTGTTCGACGTTGAAACATATTGAAATGAATAAAACAGCCAATGCGTCGAATGTAAACAATTTAATTTATTTTTTATACGTTTCGAGACTAGATGTGTCTCATCATTCAGCTAAAAGAAATTTACAATATAAAGAAAAGGTTTCAAAAAAATGAATTTATACAATGGAAAAATTAATTGAAAAAACAACAAATTATACACACCAGATCAGGAAAAACCCACTTTACTAAAACATTTTACAACACCACAATCACATGACACTACTGTAGGAAAACAAAAATAATTTACGAAAAGACCGAAAAAGGTATATATATATAATATATATATATATATATATATATATATATATATAAATTTATATTTATATCAGATCATTCTACGACATATATAGAAATAGAAATTACCTATTAGTGCCTATGTAATTATCAAGTTTAGAGATTTAATTAATCACAAAATGTAAAAATTAAGCTAGAACAAATGAAGTTAACACAATTAGTATTCTCTGTATATATTATAGTGTATATGATTTATGTATATATATACACGATTAATGAAGTAAGTAAAAGAAACAAAATAACTGATTAAATATAATGTTTTATATCTGTTTCATTACAAAAATAAAGATATTTGAAACTAATTTTATTTAAATATTAATTAGTAATGGATAAATTTATATTTACATACTGAAACAGTTTTTGTGTGATTAATAATCAACAGTTTATTAAATTGCAGAAAGAGAATGTGTGCAAAAGTTACCAATGTCAACTCCCAAGCAATGAAATATTTTGGTGTAATCACTACCATTTTCCAGACATAGGTGAGTATAAGTATGACAAAAATGTATTTATAAATAATTTATTTTTAAAATGTTTAAATTTATAATTTTTAATTAAAATTTTTCTATTTTTCAGTTTCAAATTTTTATTATCTAATGTTGGTTCGCCGTTAACAGCTGGTCAACCTGCATTAGCAAAACAACTTCAACATGTTTCAACGTCATTTTTGAACTTTTAACGTCCAGATAATTTTGTTTTTCTTTAGAAAAATATTATAAATTTTGCTTTAAAACAGTGTTAATTTACAATTATGTAGTTGCAACAGGACTTTTAATAATTTGTGATCGTGTTTTCAAGTTAAAATAAGCAGTTACTTGTGAAATAGACTAGTAATTCCTGGGTTTATGATGCTGCGATAAGGTAAGACAAATATACTAATATTACTGTTAATTTTCATTATTGAATGGATAAACACATGAAATTTATATAAATTTAATAAGTGGAATTCAATACAATTAGATTTCTATTTCGTATCATTCAATTTTGTTTAACAAAACCGTTCTTAGACTTTGTTGATTATGTTGCACATATGCTCCTTGTCAAATGCAAATTTAATCATTTCTTCGTGATTAGTTATTGAACAAAATTTTACGTAGTAAACGATAATAGATGATATTAATAAAACTTTGCATAATGTTAAATTATTGGGTTAAATTATATGATCATACAAAAAGCGGTTTAATTACAAAATTTATTTAAATTTGAAATAATGGGCCGCCATTTTATGTTCTAAGTACTATAATTAAGATAATTATAAATATTAAAAATCTGTTTGAAAGATATCAATGGGAAACTGTATTGTTTAGTTTTTAGTGAAAGCAAAAACTGGATTTTTGAAATAAATAGTTGAAAATTTTACCTAAATAGCTAAG